AAGGTACAATTTGCAGCTCAAATTAAGAGACTCCTGAGAATTGTAGGTAAGTCATTACTTACAAGGTCATTTTACAAATTTAAAGCACAAAATGTAATCACAAACCAAATGTAAGTATGGAATATTCTAAGCAGTGGAGCAAAAGCAGGGGAAGAAGCAATTCTGAACCTTTCATTGGCATCTGGAGGGTCAATTAGCAGGTCAGAGATTTTATTCAATCTTTTTAGAGACTGCACTAGAGGCTAGTAAACTACTCAGGAAGAAGGAAAACAGTAATTTTGGTATCAAGAAAAATGTACACAGCTAGCCAATTAATACTTCATCTATGTACTTTAAGTTCTCTGTGAAAGGGGAAGGCATTGTGCTCTTTGGAATCAACTTGTAACCTCAGGAACAGTTCATCAGGCAGGCTGCTCCAGAGCAGAGCATCCTGAAAGCCGGTGGTGCTCAGACTGGCAAGAAATTGCTAGCAAGGGGCCTTGAAGTTATGCTTTCTAGATGTCAGATATTCCCATTTGGTCAGATGAAGAAGACTTAAGAGCATGGAAGCCTTGACTGTGTTGGCAGAATCGGAGTGGGGAATTGCAGGTTTGGGGATATCTAGTCTCCTAATGGTCTGTCAGCTTGTCAGTAAACGTGCTCTGACAGTGAAGCAGGAACCCCAAAATCCCATTCCATGGCAGGTTCCAATAAACTGAGGGGCCATGCTACTGAGACTTTTGTTCTGTAGACTTCATGCCACTGAGCTGCAAAGAAGCTGGGCATCTTTGGAATTCCGGAGCCTTATCCTGGTTGTTGTTATTCTGCTGCATAAGCTGAAGTATCTGAAGTCTAGACACTTGCCTTCTTGTTGGGTTGCCTAGGAGCCCAGCTGGTGAGCAGGGAGGGAAATAGGCACGCTGCAAAACCTTTCTGCTGTAATGCTGCCTGGTTTCATCAAAATCAAATCATCTCTCTCAGGTATTTCAGTCTTGATGTCAGTCTGATTGAGAACCATCCTGCCTGGGAATTTTCAGCTGGCTTTTCATGGAGGAACCTTTTTACAAGACACTAGCTCAGGACCTTAGCACGGATATAAATATTTCATTATAAAGTGCAGGAAAGACATTTCCCATTTATAATTGGATGCAAATTTCCTTTCCTACATAGACATCCTGGAGTGTTTGGGTATAGAGCTTTCAAGGCCATAACTGATCTGTGGTATAGATTTGAAGAAGTGTCAGTATTTTTATAGATTTATATTCTGACATACATTTGGGTACATCTGGGTAGGGCTGATAAGAAGGTACATTTGAGGACAGGAAGGAGCTCTGTAGTAGATAGTTTCATGTCAGTAAGTATTGTGTATTTATTTTCCTGGTATATTGTGTGTCCTAATTTATTTACTTCACTACAAACATGTATGTAATAATATGTGCTCAATTTCAAATTGTTCAAATATTTTTGTTTAAAAAATAGTAATGGGGCTAGAATGAAGAAGAGCATAAGCCTGAAACTACTGTATATTTTATTTCCCTTTCTTGAGAGAGAAATGTAAAGTAAACAGCCTCAGCGCATAATCTTTTTCAGTTGTTTTTAAATTGCTTCTTTTTTAAAAAAAATCTTCCTTGCTTATTTCATGCTGCATCTTCAGTGATCATTAGTCTTTATTAACTGATACAGATTTCTTTAATGCGTTATGAAACAGTTGTAATGTGTATATGTTGGGATTTTGGAGGAAAAAAACATCCATCTTCATCTACCTCATCAAAGTCAACATAAAAATTTTATATCAGTGATAAAACAGGGCACAGAAGAATGCTAGATGGTCTGAATAGCAACTGCCTACCCTAAGTCTGCTGGGAGTTAGATATGAAAGGACTTTAAGTCTTACATATTGAATTTCTGGGTTTCCTCTGACATAAATTGGTCTTGTCTCTAAAACCTAAAGTCAAAGCCTGATTGTATGAACTCACTATATAACTAATGGCAGAAAATCCTAACCCAAAGGTAAAGGGTTTTAAAATATTTGTTATTTAACTTTTCAACCTGAAAGACAAGCTTCAGAAAAGCTGTGGAAAATAACCAAGCTGTGGAAAATAATAATTTTAAATTATTTAAACTGTTATGAGTAACTATAACCTCTGACATTTGGCATGACATGAAATCCAGAAGCCTTTATTATGTTGAATGCCAGCTGGAAAACACAGTTGTGCATAGCCAATAAAGCCCGAGGAAGAGCTGAATTAACAGCCATGTAGGCAGACACTAGACTCAGTAATCAAATTTCTCGTATTTTTTCTGGACTGCTAGATGGGGAGGGAAGAATAAATAAGATACTTTCTGCTTTTGAATTGACTGGTTACTGATACCCAATGCCATATGAGGTTATGTGGAGTTATCCATAGAGCGAGCCCCGTAGGACAGAACAGACAATACACAGTTCAGTTCTGTCATTCATCTCGTGCATCAATATTTGTGAGGACATTGAGGGAAATGACGAGGCATCCAATCCCCATCCTGTCCTCTGCTGGCAACACTATAACGATGACACTCATAGCTGTGTGTAATTGTTATTCCTCTGCATTCCTGTGTCTTGCTGATGTTCTGGCTGGTGTTGGGTATTTGACTATATTTCTGCTTGAAGTAAAACCTAAAAGGAATAAATCTAGAGAAACCTTGAATCCTGAAATTTTCCAAAGAGAATTGTTGCCTAAAGTCCACTTTAATGTGTTAAATTTTGCACATGGCGTTCACATTGGATATAATTTGCATATAGTTGACTTAAAAATCCACTGCTGCACTTGATAGCATGTAGTATTTGGAAATGGCTGCTTTCTCTGCCAGGATGCCATGCTGGGTGTGCTAGCACCCTGGGTCTTTTTAGAAATTCATGTTGTTAAATGGTACCTTGATCTACAATGTAATTTGAGTGGAAGATGTTCTACAATTTGAAAATCATATGCCAGCATCCTGTTTGATATCATAGGATTCTTTTCACTAGGAGTTGCTATAATTTTTTAGTTATTTTTAATATTATTATTACATACTTAAACACACTTGTGATTTATAAAAATGTTTTTATTCATCTGCAGTCTTCTGTTCTTGTCAACTGTTTTGGTTGCTGCCATTGCTGTCCTAATATTGATTAACAAAATGTAGCTAAGTCTCACTAATGTAATATTGGAATTTTCCTTTCCTTTCATAATTGATAATTGCAGAGTTATGATTTTCTCATTTATCTTTGCAAGAGAATAAATGTTTACTACAGTTACATGATTGACTTCTACCTGAAAGTTTTGTTTCATCTCCATTGTGAAAATATTTTCTGCAGTTTATCTCTGTATTAAGAGCTGATTTAACGCAGCTTTCCTAAAATTAAAAAAAAAAAAAAAAAAGGCTCTTCAAACCTGAATTTGACCTATCAGTTAAGCAAGTGGATGGTCTACTTTATAGATTTATTTTCTAAAAAGTAGACAACGTGGAAAATCTGCAATAATTTGATAATTTAGAAAGCACACAATACCAAAGAGAGCAAATTTCTGAAACATAGGAGAAGTAGGAAATTGTTTTTAACGCTTTCCCCGCCCTCTTTTTTGCCAACTACCATATTAGTTAACCTTATAACTCTTTTAGAAACATCATAGTAAGAAAAGTTTGAATGACTAGATTTTAAATGTGTACTTTCAGACTTTTTAAATCCATATGATCTGCTTTACTGATCTGGGGACTTTTTTATACAGTTACTTTTACTTTTTTTCTCATCATGGTGTAGTAGTTTAAGCAGATTATTTCTTCATTCACTAAGTCATTGTTATGATGAAGATACACACTCAGAAAGATTATTTCCTTGGTTTTGTTGTTACAGGGGTATATGTTGAAGCTATTTTGGTCATTTTAATTATACATTTCCAGATGTTACATTTCAAAGTTTAATTCTAATTTCAAATTTCCAGACTTATTCCATGTTGTTTAGTTTTCCATTCTCCTATTTTTAACTCCTGAAGTTATCCCTTAGAATATATTAGGGGCTTTACTGATGAGGATGTATCTCTGGATCTGAGATTGCTTCTGGGGAAGATAAACACCTGGGTAATTTAACCACAGCAGCAATGGTCTTGAGCATTTGCAAGATCTGGGGAGGCTTGTGCCAGAAGTTTTCAGATAACTTGCACTGCATGAAGGGGTTTGGAATACCTTCATAGCTCACATCCCGAGATCCCACTCAGTTTGTTCTCAGGGGCAGGTTTTAGACTGACACTTAAGTGAAGTATTTGTAGGGCACTTTGTGTCTAGTTTCCCAGTAGTCAGTGGGGATGTGGTCAGTGCAACCAGTGGAGTCTGGAGAACAGTTTTACAGTCTAGTCACTTGGAGAGCTTGCAAGATTGCATTGAGGAAACTTTGCCTAAATGTAAGCATCGCTTGCTCTTTGAGACTCCGCAAAAAGTCAGAGATACCTGTACGGAGCTCACAACTGTGATGCATGGGAATGAACTGCAAGAGCACTGCACACTCTGCAGTGACAGGTGAAGGGCAGGCAGGATATTTTTGGGCACTAGATGCCTGTATGTGAATTGGCTCCACTGACGTATTGACTCCTTCCATTGAATATAAATGGAACTCAGGTGCTGAGTTCCCACATGGCGACACATGGTATCATGATGTCATACTGACTCCCATATCTATATGTGCCCAAATCCTAGTTTGGTTATTAGGTATGATGTATGATTCTTTCTCTTCAACCCCAACCTGTATTTTTAAAATTAAAATTCATTCCATGAGTGAATTTTCCTACAGCCTGATCAGGTGTCACTGGGAGATTTGCAACTGGGCCACCAAAAATGTGGTACAGAAGAAGGCAAAAGCAATCTGTATTATTTTTTGGGCAGTTTCTATTATCTTGTCTCCATCACTGACAACTTGACTATGTGCATCCCAAGATTGATTAGGAGATGCTGTTGGTTTTGACATGTACAAATGAATAAAGTGTTGCTTAAGTATTTATTCCTTTCTCTTTCAGTTATTGTAATGGATGTATGTTAGATCCAGACTGTGGTCTCTGCTACAAACTGAATAAATCAAGTGTTGTTGAGTCCTCATGCATTCCTGTTGATAAAGATTCTACAATGAAAGCAGCTTGGGGCAGGTATGTCACTTCAAGATTTTCTGGTCTTGTGCTGTACTGATGGTGTATTTTATGCTATTGAGAATGCTTTTGCTTAAAATGTTACTCTTGGGATGTTCTGAAAGACAAAAATAACTTGGCATTGTCAAAAATGGGTGATTACATTGTAACAACTGTTATAAATAAAAGCTTTGACCCTGATGTGTGCAGCCAGTTTGGTGTAGTCTGCCAGTTAAAAGTATGGCAGAAGTGCACTAGCAATTAGGAAAATTACTTCTCCTTGATGTCTTCATTCATTTGAGGTGGCACATTCCCTAGGTATACACTTAAAGCCCTCTGAATTAATTTTCTTTTTAAATGCTTTAATTAAACCACACTTTTAATATTGGCCTACTGAAGAAACTGAGTTGCCCAGCTCAATAATCTAAAATGATAAAAATGTGAAAAGTTCAAATTGTCAAAAGCATGGTTTGTGGGCACAGATTTCTGTGTTCCTGTGCTTAAAAACAGTGTCATGCCCTATGTTGCACTTGGGGCGTAAAAATGTGTGCATTCATAGATAAGTCCCAATGCAACTTCAAAATACATCACACCTCTTTTTCTTAAGCAGCACAAAGATTCCCTGTGAAGTCACAGCAATCTTCAAGTTTTCTGAAGTATTGACTGTTCTTAAGGAATGGCTTTATGAGTTGGAACAACATCAAGTAAAGGCTTTATCAATACTTTAATAAAGATTAGGGCTTGGATTAGAGTTTAGAATGGTTCAGTGCCACAAGGGAATTACATAATTACTCCTGATAAAACCTTCATGCCATAATTCATCTATGCCACCCACATGCCATAAACATACTTGGGAAATAGGCGAAGGTTCGTGTGGTGGTTTGGGCTTTCTTCTTTATTTATTTTTTTAACTTTCACGTGTACTTCTCAGAAGTTAAAACCAAGTGCCTTAGTGGCAGTAAATCTTATTGGGCAGAGGTTGGAAGGTATGAAAACATCTACCAATTGTAGAATCATTAACTTAAAATTATTCTAAAATTGCCTTCCTTTTGATTTCAGTACTATTAGAATGTTATGCCTAGTAGTTCATTCCAGATGCAGAAGAGGGTAGTTTATATTCTTTGTAATCATAATTTAAAAGGACTGTGATCATTTTGGGGCTATTACTATTATTAATAAGTGTGAAAACGAAAAAATCTCATCTGTCTTGCTTGTTCTGTGGCTGTCTTCAATGGCACGTTATACAACATACCTTGCATATTACTTAATATCCTGATGTGCTCTGCAGTATTTGGACTCTCATATGTGTAAGGTAACAGATCTCTGTATTGCAAGTCAACGTTCATTTCATATAGGCTGTTGTTTTAAGTAGCATGTCTGTAGTTAGCAAAATGGTACTAGCATGCAGGAAGACTAAATGGGAACATAAACTTGTTATGCATAGTTGATAGATAAAATCAAACTTTCTTTATTAAGCAGTGTTATTGTATAACGTAGTAAATGTGGGCATTGGTAATCCTTTTATATTCATGTTTCACTCTCACTAACACTCCTTGCTGTACAGCGTATTGGAGCAAATTAGATAGGAAAGAAGAAATGCTTCCTTTCCATATTGCAAAATACAGTATTCCCATATTGTACAATAATTCCGTAGCATAAGGACTCTGTTCAAAATCTTTCAAGAGAAAATTAAACCATTTAAAATTTGTTATATTGGTAGTCACTAGAGTGGAAGTCCTGCCTTAAGATGGAAAACTAATAAAATATCCAAATTTCTTTTACCAAAGATTGTATGTTCATCCCTATTTCTAGTGTTTCTTTCATTAATTTCTAATCTTGTCTCCACCTGGTCTGTGTAATCAGGCAGTTTTCTAAAAGCCATTCCCTCAAGCTGTGAAATGTCAGGTGGCACCCTCTGTGCATTCCAAGCTCTGTGGAACAGGCAGGCATTTCACCTCCTCACAGATACATCTATTTCTGCTTAGTGGTCCAGAGGGAATCCCCATAGATTTTGGCTTCCAAGGGTTCACGTTCACGTAACCTCCCCAACTCCGCTTCCTCAAATCCTCAGGCTGCTTTACAGCAAAATCAGTCCCACAAAGCCATAGGATTTCTCTGCCAAGTGAGAAGATTGCTGCAGTGAAAATGGTGTGGTTACATCCCCAGTTGTGTCTCAGAGCAGCAGGAGTCATCTTTATCTTTCTGGCAGCATGGGGAGAACAAGTACCTAAGACAAACTAACAGCACTGGTGAAGAAATTACGTCTGTGCTGACGCTTGAAATTGCAGCCCTCCGTTTCACAAAGTTACTTTGTCACAAGCTAGACATACAGTGGCAGTTATTTTAAAAATACATGACATTTTTATGACCAGAAACTGGTTTAATAATTTGAAAGATGATTTTGTGATCTATGGACAGCTGATAACCATAATTATCACATGCAGCCTCTTTGTAACTCCTGTGTATTCTGATGGCTTCATGCCATCTAGTATTGGCTGAATGAGTTTAAATGGCTTAAAACATCCAGAGTTACACTGGCCTCATATGGCCAATTTATTTTGCCATTAATTTTGCTCAGGAGAGAAGGAAGACCTGACCTATTTGTTTGGGATTTGTTGGACCTCAGTTTGTCTGAGCATTAGCAAAAGCAGCAGCTCTGACTATCCTGCCTGATGTAGGAGGTTCAGAGAAATGGCTTCTGCTGGACTTGGATTGACAGTGCTGTGTAGAGCATTTCACTGCTGCTGCACTCACATTTTGTTTATGATTTTCCTGCTGGAACGCCGGGAGCTGCAGCCATGGAGAGGTGCCTGTGGTCACATCATATGATGTGTGTAGAGCCACATAGCTCTGCAGCTGTCTTAACCCCAACTGTCCTGACACTCACTCAGGGGCTTATCTATTCCTGATGTGTAACATACCAGCAAGGTGAGAGGTGCTTAGAGGCACCAACAGAGAAGGCCGTGTCATATTTTTTTTAAAGCTCTCTGCAGCTGCACAAGCTGACATAGAAAACCCTCCTGTTTATGTATTTATAGCTTTCCACTGTTCTTCACAGTTGGTCCCAAGGTACTTCGATAACACTGACATAACAGGCAATGTTTTGACTGTTATCATAAAATACTGTAAGGTATTTTTATTTGCAGGAAGTTTCCCCAGTGCCAGCCTGGTGTACTAGACATCACCTCTATGTTTATTGTTAATCGTATTTATTCGGTTACGGTGTGTTCTACATTGAGAAGTTCTGGGGAGGGGAGGGAAGAGAGCAGAGATTTCAGTCTCCTGTGGCTGCCAGCAAGGCTGTTTATGTTGCTGTGGTTGTCATAGAAACATAGGGAGACAATTAGAGCATCCAAATGTTTTTCAAGAAGAATATAGCATTTTGGTCCTTTTGAATATAAGGGAACTCAGTGGCCAGCAGTGGACCTGGGGGAGGGAGACCGCATAAGAATAAATCTGACCAAGTCCAAATCAGGTCTTGAAGCAGTATGGGTAATGTGCAACAGGTGCACTTGTAAGATCATACATAGAAGACAAAGAATAAAGATTTATTTTTTATTATTTAATCAGTTACATAAGCCTGACTGGTATTGGAATAACACAGAGAGGAGCGTCTTGCCCAGGGCACTAGTGCAGTCACGTGCTGTGCTGCCCTTGGTATTACTGAACCTGTTAACAAAACAACTGTTGACATGCAAACGTTGCTGCCTCCAGCTCTGCCCAGGGACATATAAAGGATGGTTTCAAAACAGTGAGCAAGAATATTCTTAAATTATTCACTTTGTAATAAAAGAAGAAGAGCTGTGTCTTCTCTCTCTGTGTGGTCTGAGGGTTCTGTGTTGGGACTCTGTTCTCCAAGATTTAGGGAAGTTTTGCATTTAGCAGTAGCACAGAAGGGCTTGCAGTTCTGTTCTCTTCATGAACATCGAATTATAAAATCCCCACAATGTCGATAAAAAGCATTATCTCACTTTTACAGATGGGGATGCAATGGGAAAATTCCAATATGAAGCTCGGGTGGCATGACAGAGGTCATGAGCAGAGTCAGTCTCAGCCAGGACTGAATGTGGAGGTGATTGCTTTCAGTTCTGTGCTTTCAGAGCACAAACTGAAATCTAGTTTTTCCCCACAATTACAATTACTCCCAGAGTACTGTTGGAAACCTTGAAACTTCTGTCCATGTAATTGCAATAACCCTAAAGGCCAGCCAACAATGCTTTAGAAGTAACTTTAAATTGCATTAATATTCTTACTGCAGTTGAAAGAATAACCGTGCAAGGAAAGGACCTACTAATAGTGCCTTGACATGACATTAACCTTGACATGAGTATGTTGTCAAGACCACAGCAGGCCCACAACTGTGAGCTAAAAGGCTCTCATGAGTGACTCTGAGCACTCTCCCTCTGGAGAGAAAGATGTTGACTTTATACAGTAAACAAAATATGAAGAAATAACAACATCATCTGCAGATCAGAGAAAAGCCTAGAAGCCATCCTGTCCACAAAACTAGCTGGCAGGACTCCACAGTCCCTGAAGGAGGGTGACTGGGAACAGAAATCTATAAAGGGAGAGGAGCTGAGTGATTTGCTTTCTTCAGCCATTTTTATTAACTTCATTAGAGGAACATCACCCTGCTATGGGAGTTTAATGCTTCATGGAGAATCCAGCTTTCGTCAATATAAACATTCAGTGCAAAGGCGAGTGCAAGAAGAGCTCTGCGTTTGGGAAGCTCTTCATTTTCCTCTGGCCAGTGCTCTCCTGAGCTCCTTCGTTCTGTGTAAAATTAATGGCATGTTTACAGATGCTCGGTAATGCTGCTCTGTGTCGCTCTGTGCCTGTTGCTCCTATCTGTCAGTTTACTGAGGAGTTTTAACTGTATCTTGGAAATTTGTTCTGGGGTAAAGTGGGTTTAAATTACCTGGGCAATGTGAGAAAGCAGGTCAGGCAGGCAGACAAACCCTGGTTCCCAGCTTCAGGAGAGTTTCCACCACAGGAATGAGCCTAACGACCTTGGCATTCAA